TCATGAAGATCCCTGAACAGAAACTTGAGAGCTATAAAAGATGAGGTCTTGATCACAGTGCCATTCTCTTCTTCTTTGACTCCTTCCTAAGAGAGCTCTGGTGGCCTAATGGTAAAGAATTGTGCTGCCAACCCAAGTGCATGCCATTCGAATCCAGCAGCTGCTCTGAAGGAGAAAGATGGGCAATCTCCCATGCAAATCACAACCTCAGAAATCCTGCTGGAGGATCAGCCATGCATCTGTTCCAACTTGACAGTACATGCGGGTACCCACTTTTCTCTGATAGCTGGGAGATTTAGGGGAAGCTGTAGAGAAGGATCCCAAGTCCTCCTCCAGTTACTGCTTTAGGTATGGAAATATGAAACAAATAAGGTCATTGAAATAAGAGGACAATGTAGAAAGATGTTGGGGGTAAGGGTTTTTTTTTAATTAAAAAAGATCCAATGTCAGTGTGAATATTCAACAAATTGTATTTTAAATACCAAATACTATTAAATAAAGATGGTGGCCTATGGTAAGAAGGTGCCCTGCAATGCTGAAGGCATTCATTTCGAATTTGCAGGAGAAAGGTTGGGCAATCTTATCCCATGCAATTAACTGCCTCTGAAAATCCACTGGAGAGTAAGCTATGGGTTGGTTCTGACTGGGTGGTACACAACAACAACATTTGTTTTTAAACAAATGGAAAAGACCCAAAACCTCCAAGGATCTTTGTATTGGCTCTGGGCCAGGGTGTGATGTCTGGAACGGAAGCAGTTCTTCTTTTTTTTTTTAATTTCAATGAACATCTACAGAGATTTTGGAATTCCATTCATTCATTGTTGTACTTTTCTCCCCCCTCCCCCCAGAAGCAGTTCTTTTGAGGCTATGAGATAGACCACCTTGAATGACCAGTCCTTGAATTGGCCAACCCAGGTACTGCCCTGACCTACAATCTCTTGTTACTTAGGATCATCTATTTCCCTTTTTATTCTTTTTTTTTAGCCATTTTAAGTTGAACATTCTTTTTGGTACAACTATCCTGCCCATAATTCACGTAGAATGTAGCAACACTCTAAGTGGTGCCTTGGAAGAAAGACCTGGCGATCTACTTACATTTTGTTTTAAAACAAAAACAAAGCCAAAACGTTAAGCCATTGAGTTGATTTCATATCATGACAACCCATGTGTTACAGAGTAGCTCTGAGCTCCATGGTGCCATTGTGCAATCGTAATAGATACAGATCACCAGAAGAGTCCTCTGTAACACTTAGGTGGGCTTGAACTTCCAAACTCTTGGTTAGTAGCCTACAGACCACTACTGCCACCTAGTGACAGTTCCGTAAAATTACATCCTACTGAGCCCAGCTCTGCTCAGAAGCACGGTTGAAATCCGTTTGGTAACAACAGGTTTTGTTTCTTTTTGTTGGGTAAGTGATTCTGTTTGCTTTTTCAGCTGTTCCCCCATGTCTTGTAGCAAAATCTCCCTCGCAGTCTGTTTTTCCAGCTCTGGCAGAATGAACTGTGCACCAGGAGAACCTCAAGAACAATGTAAGACTGTGTAGGACCAGAGCAATTGCATGGGATGGCTTCTTTGTGAAACCCCCTAATTCTCAGACATATGGTGGCACAGTGGCTAAAGGCTCTGACCCTTAAGCAAGAAGATTGGTGGTTCAAGCCCACCAGCAACTTAGAGTAAAATGGTCTAAGGTCTGCTTTTGTAAATATTTACAATTTTGGAAACCCCATAGGGCAGTTCTCAGAGTAAAGATCAATCCAGTAGCAGTGAGTTTAGTTTTGTTTTGAGTTCTTGGTTGCAAATGAGGCCATAGGCAGCCCCTGACCCAAATTAAACCCCAGTGGATCCAATTAGACCCAAATTAGTCTCTTGGCTAAAATTTTAGAACTAGGACTCTAGTGGTTCTTGGAATTTGACTTCTCAGTGGGCGTTATTTGGCTACTCTGTGTGAAGCAGAGCAAAGTAGTCTTCAGAGAGGCAGAAAAATAAAGTGTGTGTATATAGAGGAAGGAAAAGCATACTTCAAAGTAGAGACCCAAAGGTGTACGGAGATGATTTGTGAGAGACGGGGGCCAATCTTGATTTCACACAGCTTTCCAACTCTGGTTCCTGTCCCTGTAAGACTGTCCCTTTCCAATAAGGTTGTCATTTCTGCTTAAGTCAGCTGAAACAGATTTTATTTCTTGCAACTGAAGAACCCTGAATAAAAAACTTGAGCTCTGTAAAGGAAGAGGTCGTTGTCACAAGCCTTGGTATGAGGCCTCCTGGGAAATAAGACACCCAGCCTCAATGTCTGCTGGAGGGCAACAAGGGACACACGCATCTGTGCAGTGGTCCTCCGTGTTGGATGCCGGGGGAAATGACTCTTAGTGACTCTGTATGTGCTGAGTAGAATTGCCCCACAGCATTTTCAAGGCTGTAATCTTCTGGAAGCTGACCCCGGGGCTTGCCTTCCAATGAGCATTTACCTTTCAAGCCACTGAGGAACGCTGAGAAGTGTACTAATGGCCTCCAGTTGTTGCCAGATGGACATATTGTACTGGGCAAATCAGCTAAGGACCTCTTTAAAATGTGGATGAACAAGGATCTCACTTTAAAGACTAAGGTGTACCTGCCCCAACTCCTCCTATTTTCATTTACTTCACATGCAGTTGAAAATTGGAGCACTGAATAAGGAAGACCAACTAAGAATTGATGTCTCTGAACTGTGCTGGCAAAGAGTGCTGAACATACGGTCACAAGAATAAACAAACTTGTCTTATGGAAGTGCAGCCAAAATGCTCCTGAGAAGAGGGATAGTGACACTTTGTCTTCCATTTTTTGGGCATGTTATTGGGAGGGGTTGTTATTGTTACGTGCTGTTGAGTTGAATACGACTCATAGTGGCCTCTATAAACAGCAGATCTGAGCTCTGTCCTGTTCTGTGGCATCCTCATCATCTCTAACGTAGGAGGGGTGAGTCTCTGGAAAAGACATGATGTTTGGAAAAATTAAGAGTCAGTGAAAGAGAGGAAAAGACGTAAGGAGATGGATTGACCCAGTGATGGCACTTGGGTTGTTTCCAACAATTCTTTGCTATTGTGAACAAAGCATCAATAAACATGGGTGTACATATATCTGCTTGGGTGTCAGTTATGGTCTCTTTGGGGTATATTCCCAGTAGTGGAATTGCTGGGTTAAATGGTATCTCTATTTGCAACTTTTTGAGAAAGAGCCGTACCGCCTTCCACAGTGGTTGCACCATTTTACACTCCCACCAACAGTGAATAAGGGTTCCAGTTTCTCCACAACCTCGCCAGCATTTGTTGTTTGCTGTTCTGTTAAATTTTGCTGTTCTGACTGGGGTGAGATGATATCCTATAGTTGTTTTGTGCGTCTATCCATCTTGTTGAGGGTCTTGTCTCTATGGGTGGGCTCAAGGAAACACGTCTTTGTTATATGCTGTCAAGTTGGAGCCAAATCATAGCTGACCCTCCAGCAGATTTTCAGAGGCTGTAAATCGCATGAGAAGGGATTGCCCATCCTCCCCCGAGCAGCAGTGCAACTCTTACCACAAGCCCACGGAGCTCCCTGAACATGAATTCTAGAAGTATTGTACTACAAGAATGCCACTGAGGTTGTGTTGTTAGCTGCCATCGAGTACATAGGACTCAAAGTGACCCTGTGAAGAACAGATCTGGACCTTGTCCTATCTCATGCCATCGTCGTCGTCTCTGACACACTTGAGCCCATTGCTGCAGTCACTGTCAAGGCATCGTGTTGAGGGGCTTTCCCTTTTTCTCTGACCTTTCCAAGCATGTAGTGTTGGCCTTTTCTATAAGACCTGGGAAATATAGCTCAGCCTTTATGCTCTGCCCCTCCAGTATTAGGGGAAATGCAGTCTTGTCTTTATTTCCCTCTGTCGTGCATCAAGGGAGTAGTGGCCTTTGGCTTATCTCCTATGGTTCTGTTCCCTCCTTCTGTCCCAGAGCCTCATGGGAAATGCAGACATAGCTCCTCAGAATAACAAAATCATTTAGGCTTTGGGAGCTTGGGAGAAGAGATTGGACGGCTAGGACTTAGGCAGGGTAGTGGGTTTACTTTTGGGGCCCAGCAATAAATGTAGCAGTGTCTTAGGGTGGAAGGCCTGATGGAACAGCTTCTGGGGGGACCTCCAAGACTGGGGACCCTAATTAAAAACCAAGCAAAAACAACTCCAAGAAATACCTCTCTCAAGTTGAATCAGACTCACGGTGACCCTATGTGTTATCAGAGTAGAACCATGCTCCATCGTTGATATTTTCAGAAGTAGATTGCCAGGTCTTTCTCCCGAGGTGCCTCTAGGTATCCTCGAACCACCAAACTTTTGCTTACATTACAAAAGTGTTTGTGCCACCTAAGGACACCTGGGTCCTACAACATAACCTCTAATTCCAGGAGCCTGTGGAAAGCTCTCCCTACCCCATTCTGTTCATGGATGGGATAAAAAAGGGCAGACTTGGTACAAAAATCTTTATTAAGTATAAAATATTAAATAATAAAATATTAATTAATAATAACAGTAATGGAAAAAATTAAACGCTCATTGCTGTCAGGTCTGAGCTGATGCATCGCTGGCCCTCCAGGGGGATTTGGGGGGGGGCCATAAATCACACAGCAGTTGCTGGCCCCTCTTTCTTCCTCAGAGCTGCTGGTGGATTTGAACCACAAGAGGCATTCCCTTTTGGGTTAGCACTGAAAATCACTATGGACTGCGTCACCACAGCTCCAATAATAACAAGAGTAGGAATAATTTGAAAAATAACAGGCGCTTTCTCGACGGCCCTCTGCTTTCTCCAGCTCTTCTCAGATTCTCACAACTCTGGGCAGGACGCACTTTGACAGCTGAGAAAACAGAGGCCCAGGGAGGACAGCACACAGGCCTGAGGTCACAGAGCAAGTCTGCAGAGTTGAGAGGCTAAGGACAGGGCAAAGGGGCCTGCTGAGTTCAGCCAGGACAGGGGCACGGTGTGTGTTTCTGGGTTCAAGTCCAGAGGAGAGTGCCTCCCCACAGTCTTGCCGTCAGGAGCAGGGTGATGGTGAGGCTGAGGTGGGTGGAGGTGGGCCGAGGGCTTCCCCCTAGGCGGGGCTGGATGTCCCTGGTGGGGTGGTTACAGCCCTTTCCAGAACAGCAGGAGACACGGTGTTGAGTCAGGCCGAAGCCTTCGGCCACGTGGAGACCCTGGCACCATGAATGGGTCGCACAGCCTCTCAGGGTATAGTTTTCAGCACCCAGCTCTGAGGAAAGAGAAGACTGTGAGTATGAGAGACTCAGCCTTTCCCTGCCCCTCACCGAGCCTCTCAGAGACTCCATGTTCTTAAAACCTGGGCCTGGAAGTCTCACTGACAGACATAGCACCTTGTGGTGGGTGCCGCCTCTTCTACAGAAAAAAGAGCAATTCTCAAAGTTAGGGCCTTACAGAGCTCTTTCACAAGTAGAGTTTCCAGAAACTGCTGAATCCCTCCACTGCTGTGAGTTGTCGGTTCCAGCTCCTGGCAGCTCTATTGGATCGGGTAGAGCGGGTGCAGACTTCTTTTCAGCTTTCTCCCGTGGGGCATTTGGGTGTTCAAACTGATGACCCTTTGATGTGCAGCCCAATGCGTAATTTACAGTGCCACCACAGGTCCTTCCAGAAACTACTGGACACATGATGACATGCTACAGCAAGATAGGGGGACCCAGGGCCGTCTGTTAAAGCAGGGCATTAAAAGGTATGCTGCATGGTCCATCTTTTTTTTCTCTTCCATTTCAGAGACATGAAATGTTTTGTTTTGGTGTGTTGGTTTTTTTTAAAAAAAAAAATCTCAAAACATTACATTACCACATAACAGGCTTGTTATTTTTGGTTTTCAATGAATGAGTGAAGTCTTCAAATTTTCTCAATTTTAATTTGGAGGGTGGCATAGTTTATAACATAGTGGGCTGCTAATTGAAAGGTTGGCAGTTCGAATCCTGCTATCAGCTGCTCTGTGGGAGAAAGATGTAAAGAATTCTAGCCTTGGAAACTCTGCCTTTATGAGGAGGAACTGACGCCATGGCAGTGAGTGTACGTGTACTTAAGACAGAAGGAGCCCTGGTAGTTTGGTACTTTATATACCAGGCTGCTAAACTACAGATCATAGTCCACCAGCTGCTCTGCATCTCATCTTGCTAAGATTTTGCCTTAGAACCTTAGACATGGACTAAACTCTATGGAAGTGGGTTGGGGTTTTTAAAAAAAGAATTATACATATAATTTACATAAGTAATGCTTAAGAATGTAGAGGAGTCTTGAGATCAGAAAGTTTGGGAACCACAAGAATACAGTCTTCCTAGCACTTCACAGGATGAAAGCCCAGGCTGGCTGTCAACAGGAAATCCCACCCCAAGAGGTCTCCTCTATTGCAGATTGTCCATTTTTTTTTCTATTGTATTATTTTTTACATGTACCGTCAAATCAGATCTGACTGGTACAGGAGGAGATTGCCCCTTCCTTCTTCAGCAGAGCATCTGGTGGATTTGAACCGCATACCTCTGGGATTGCAGTGCAGCATCTTGCCACTAGGCCACCAGATTGTCCGTTTTTAATGACCAATTCCTAATTCCTTAGTTTCCAAAGGGAGTCTTTCACCTTTTCCACAGGAAGAGTCACCTCAAATAAAGCCCACTTGAAGCAGTCTAATTTGAAGTCACCCTCTTACAGAAGACCATTCCCCTTCCAAGAAGAACCCCCTCTCTCCGGGCCCCTGAATTACCATCTGAGCCTGTGGCTTCCAGACATTGAGTCATGGGGCCTCGGCAGGTGATGAGGGAAGACTCTTCTGCGCTGCATCCATGGGTGCTGTTCCCCTCGCAGCTGTAACATTGGAAGTCATTCGGTGGCAAGTGTTGAAGCTCCACAACTTAGAAGGGAAGAAACAAAGAAATGCGCATGAATGGCGCCCTCTGGCTAAGTGCTGGGTTGTTAACCAAAAGGGCAGCAGTTCGAATCCAGCAGTCCCTCCGTGGAAGCGTTTGGGAAGCGGCTCCTCCAGTTAAGGTTTGCAGCCTGGGTAACTGGAGAAAGGAATGTACCAGACGGGCAGTAGTTAATACGATGGCTCCTCAGGACTTCCAGTTCTGTGCCCGAGATGTCAGGAGTCCTCTTGTGGTCAGCAGACTGACCTTGTGGTCAGTCGTTGGAAGGGCAATCTATTTTGGGGAGAGCTGTGATGATATTCTGCCTTTGGCTGCTAACTGAAAGGTCAGTGGTTCAAATCCACCAGTAGCTCTGTAGGAGAGCTGAGGCACCCCCCTCTCAAAAAGATATACAGCTTTGGAAACCCAGCAGAGGGACATTCTGAGTTTAAATAAACTCGGTTAGATTTGGTTCTAGGACGTGTGAAGAGCCCGGGTGGCACCGTGGTTAAAGTGCTTGGTTTTAATAGAAGGCTGGGCGGTTTGAACCCACCTCTATGGGAGAAAGAGGAGGCAGTTTGTTTCCATGAAGATCAAGGCCTAGGAAACCCCACGGGGCAGCTCTACTCTGTCCTGCAGCACCGCAAGAAGTAGGAGTCGACGCAATAGCAATGGCTTTAGTGTGGTTTCTCTTGACCTGTGAGAGAAATCCTAACATCTTTCAACCCTGTATTGTCGCCTTTCTGATGGGCTGCCCATCTGACAGGTGTTGGTTACACAACCGTGTAAGATGCAACAGTCACTGCCCTCACAGCGTAGGAAGAGACCGCCCATCTCTCTCCTGAGGAGTTGTTGGTGGATTCGAACCCCTGTGAGAGGTTTGCTAAGCCTTTGGGTTGGCAGTGCAGCTCCCTATGTACTATGCTACCAGTATCCCTAGTTAACATTAGATAAAATGTATTCACATTTCAAGTACGCAACAGTCACATAAAGGGGTAGCTGCGCTGCAATCCCGAAGGCACATGTTTCGAGGCCACCAGCTGCTTCATGGGAGAAGGATGAGCAGTCTCCTCCCATGTGATTAAGTGCCTCTCAAAACCCGCTGAGGGTCAGCTATGGGTCAGTTCTGACCCTTCTGTACAAAATAACAATATGAGGGATACTATATCAGGGTAATTGATAGCTACTATGGTAGGTAAATCCTATGATAAGGGAGGTCGGTGGCCTTGTGGTAAGACTGGAATCCCAAAGGCATAGGTTAGAATCCACCAGCTGCTCCATGGGAGAATGATAGGCAATCTCCTCCTGTTTGATTTATTTCGCCTCTGAAAACCCACTGAAGAGTCAGCCATGGGTCAGCTCCAACTCCATGGCACACAACAACAACATTTTGGATAGTACAGATATAGAGTATTTGCATCCCTGTGGCACAGTGTTGATTTAGGAACAAACTAACGTGGCTTTAGATTCTACTGGAGGGGTGGGACGGGAAGGAGGTTTTCCTGGGAACATAGATTAAAGCTGAGACCTAACAGATGAGATGTAACCAGTCAGGTGAACTCTTGACAGATAGGTGTTCCAGGCAGTGGCCGCTGCTTGTGCAAAGGTGACAAGGTAGGATGGGATTTGACAGTTGAAGAAACGAAATGCAGATCATGGACCAGGCAGGTGCCACAGGAATGCTTGAGGATTTTATTCTAAGAGCAATAGGGAAGTCATTGACGTGCTTAAGGCAAGCACATGGGTTGTAATTACCTTAAAATTTTTTAGAAAATGACCTTAAAGCACTTTTTTTCCCTTTTCCATCACTGTTGTTATGGAGTACTGGGGGCATAATCTGCAGGGATTGAGTTGCTAATGCACAGGGGTTTGAATCCACTAGCAGCTCCTTGAAGGAAGATGGACAGTCCCCTCTCTTGTGAATTACAGTTTTTGACAACCCACTGGAGGGTCAGCTCTGAAGTGGCTCTGATGAGTGGAATTAGCATGTCATGGCCTTGCTGCTATGCTAAGCACTGGTTCTGTGATCCAGAAGTGGAAGCCAAAGAGCTAGGAAGCAGATGTCATGAATGGAATTGAATCCCCTCAGAATGTGTACGTCACAAGGAAGTTATGTAATGGTCCTCCAAGAGCTGATAAAAGAAAAGGAATAGATCGTATAACAATGAAAGAATTTTACTTTTACTTTTCAAAGAGAAAAATGAACTGGAGGGGAGGGGCAGAGAGAAAAGTGCGACAATGAATGAATGGAAATTAAAAATATCTGTAAATTTTCATTAAAATTAATAATAGGGAAAAAAAGAAAAGGAATAAGGATGAAATTAAGCATCCCTTAATCCCTTCAAACCCTGATCCACCTAAGGGGAATGTCTTTGGGGATGTAGCTTATAACATCTTTGGCCTTGAGAGAGATAAGAGGAGAGAGAAGTCAAATGGAGGGTGGGGCACCTCCCTACCACCAAGGATGACTCGTCAGGATTGGAGTGCATCTGTTTGGACCCAGGTTCCTGCGCTGGGAAGCTCCTTGACACAGAGCAAGGCAGAGACACAGCTGGATCTCTGAGGATTGCTAAATCTACGGATGCTGAAGGGGACTGAGCTTACAGATGCACTTCAGATTCAGACTTCTAGCTTCTTAAACTGTAAGAGGATAAATTTCTGTTTCTTAAAGCACTTGTGGATATCTCTGTTACAGAGTATTAGATAATTACAGCAGGAGGGTATTGCAATAAGTTAGGGGGAAAGGTGATGGCAGCTGGGACCAGGGTGGTGGCCGTAAGACAGGGTGCAGTGGAAGGGCTTGAGGGGGAAAAGCCCAGATCTTAACAAAGGATGGAGAAATCAAACCAACCCAGTTGTCATTGAGTTGGTTTCTGCTTGTGGTGAACCCATGAGTGTCAAAGCGGAGCTCTGCTCTACAGTGTTTTCAACAGCTTACTTTTGAGGAGCAGATCAACAAGTCTCCAAGGTGCCTCTAGATGGACTTGAACCACTAACTTTTCAGTTAGCAGCTGTATGCTTAAACATTTGAGCTACCCAGGGACCAAAGAAATGATAGCAAAACTAAGCCCACTGCCATCAAGTTAACTCCTGCCAACCCCTCCATCCTGTTTCTAAGGCTGTGAATCTTTTTTTTTTAATTATTATTATTTTTCTGTGAGTGTACCATCAAATCAGATCTGACTGGTACAGGAGGAGATTGTCCCTCCTTCCCCGGCAGAGCATCTGGTGGATTCGAACCGTGCGCCTCTGGGATTGTAGTTGCAGCTCCTTGCCACTAGGCCACCAGAGCTCCCCTTAAGGCTGTGAATCTTGAAGGGAGGTGAATGCCACAGTTCTCCTGCAGAGAGATCCAAATCGTTGACCTTTCACTTTTACAGCACTGTGCCACCAGGGATATTTTCCCTTTTTGAGGAAGAACTTAATATCCATCTCTTTGATCTCTGAGTACACCTCCATGCTCCCATCCCAGGCCTCAAATCAGGTCCCTGCCCTCTTACCTGGACCCCCATTGCATTTGGTGGTGTTGCAGCACTGCAGGAAGTGGAAGGATTGGTTGTTATGGAAACCAGTGGGACCTGGACAGCCAGGAAGGTAACCACAGCCTCGAATGTGGCGTTCATCTACTGACCTGTCTGTAGAGGACAGAGGAGACAGGTCAGATTATTAGTGAAGACCCATGATTGGATTTTACCACCTCTATTCAATCTATATGGGAACAGATTATCCTGGAGGCTGAGTTCTATGAGGAGAAATGTGGTATCAGGACTGGAGGTAGACTCATCAGCAATCTGCATTATGCAGATGACATAACTGCTTGCTGAAACTGAGGAGGACCTGAAGCATTTGCTGCAGATCAAGGACTGCAGCCTTCAATATGGACTGAAGCTCAACATCAAGAAAGCAAAGATTCTCACCACTGGGCCGATTGGCAACATCATGATAGATGGTGAAGAGATTGCGATTGTTAACAGCTTCAGTTTGCTTGGCTCTACAATCAACAGCTTTGGTACCAGCAGCCAGGAAATTAAAAAACTAATTGCATTGGAAAAGTCTCCTGTCAGAGAGACCTCTCCAAAGTACCAAAGAACAATGACGTCAGTCTGGAGACTAAGGTGTGCCTGATGGTCTTTGCAATTACTTGCATTAGAGAGCTGGACAATGACTAGGGATGATAGATGGAGAATTGATGCCTTTGAGCTGTGATGCTGGAGAAGAGTACTGAATATATTATGGACTGTTAGGAGAACAAACAAGTTCGTCCTGGAGAGGGTAAAGCCAGGTTGCTCATTGGAGGCAAGGATTCTGAAGCTTCATCTGACATACTTAGGACTTGTCGCAAGGCAGGATCAGTCCTTGGAGAGGGATGCCATGTTTGGGAGGGTGGAGGGACAGCACAGAAGAGGAAGACCCTCGAGGAGATGGACTGATTCAGTGACTGGGGTAATAGGGGTAGGCATGTCAGAGACAATAAGATTGGCAAGGGATAGCGCAGAGTTTAGGGCTGTTGTACATAGAGTCGCTATGAGTCACAGGTGACTTGGCAGCACATAACAACAACAACAACAACAACATAATTTACTCCTGTTTAGCCTTGCAAGTGAGGAGGTCATACTTGTAGCTAAAAGACTACATTTCCCAGCCTCCCTTGCTGCTAGGTAGGTCTTGTGACTAAGTTTTGCCCAATGTGATATAAGTGGATGTGCTTTATGGGATTTCCAGAGATTCTTTTTTTTTGGGGGGGGGGGGGCTCAACTGGGATTTGAACCCAGAGACTTCTTTTTTAAAAACTGTACCCTCTCTGTTACCCCTCTTCCTTCTTCCTGGAACTTGGACATGAGGGCTGGAGCTCTAGCAGCCATGTTGGATCATGAGTTAATATTAAGAATGAGTATGGAGCTACCCTAGCAGTCCTGGACTTCTTGCCTCTGGTTTTGTTGAGTGTAAGTGAAATAAACTATATTGTTGAAATAATGTAAACCTTACATAAAGCACTGTTACTCTGAAGGATTTTAGGTGCAATCTTGGGAAGAGGAGCTCTTGGTGGCTTAAGGCTCACCTTCTGGGCCTTGGTGGGTCACCACCTCCAGACACAGTTCTCCAGGGTTGCGGCATTGCAGGGTCTGGGACCGGCTCCTCTCACAGCTCAGGTCTGATGAGGCACAGGAAACACATTCCAGATAACGACTTCGGCTTTGGAAGAGGGTGGGATCAAATCCTAGTTTTAGAGAGAAGCAGGAAGGTAAGACTCCTGTGGTAAGTCTTGGAGATCCAGCTCCCTCAAAGACTCATCTCAGCCTCAGTTCCTCCCTGTCTCACCCTCTGCAAGGCATGCCCAGTCTACCTCCTAGAATGTTCCAGAACACATCCCTTTGTTTCGAGCCTTGTAGTGATATATAGAGCTCTGGTAGCTTAGGGGCAAGAAGCTGTGGTGCAGTCCCAAAGGCATGAGGTTCCAGGCCAGCAGCTTCTCAGAGGGAGAAGGATGGGCAATGTCCTTCCATGAGATTTACTGCCTCTGAAAACCCGCTGGAGGATCAGCTATGTATGGTTCGGTTCCAACTCTACAGTACTCAACAACATAGTGATATCTAGCTCAGATTTCCTCTTTGGTTCCAATTTTGCCTGAGCCTCTGTCTAACATTCCCACATGGCTCTAGAAGGATGTTTCCAACACTCAGACCTGAGCTTCCGATCTTTCCTCTGTTCAAAGCTCTTCCATGGCTCCCCATTACCCTCAGAATAAAATCTAAGCTCCTCAGTGTGGCATTCAAGACCTATTAAGGGTGGGGGCCTGGCCACCTGTCCTCCTCTCCCACCACTCTACTCTTTCAGACTCTGTATTCTACATTGACTTACCACCAAAACCCAAAATCCCCTGCTACAGAGTTGAGTTTGACTCCTGGTGACCTTATTACGAGAAGAACTTTACCACTGAGTTTTCCTGGGTGTAATCTTTATGGAATCAGATTGTCAGGTCTTTATTTTATAATGCTATTTTTTAAAAAATTAATTCTTTTTAATTTCAATGAACATCTACGGAGATTTTGGAATTCCATTCATTCATTGTTGCACTTTTCTCCCCCCCACCCCACCTCCACCCCCCCATATAATGCTATTTTTGTTATGTGCCATTGAGTTGGAACCGAGACCCTCCAGCAAGTTTTCACAGGCAGTAAATCACACAGGAAGAGACTGCCCATCCTTCTCCCACGAGCAGCTGGTGGATTTGAACCATATGCCTTTGGATTGGTCTCACAACTCACTACTGCTAAGCCATGAGAGCTCCCCTGTGTGGGTTCAAATCCACCAATTAGTCGTCTAGCAACAGATGTGCACCTTTCCAGGACTATAGCTTTCAGAATGGATTATACCTCAACATGAAGAAAATTCTTCACAAACAGACCAGTGAATGTCATGACAAATGGAGAAAAGATTGAAATGGTCAAGGATTTGATTTCATTTTACTCAGATCCACAACCAACATCCATGAGACATCAGCCAAGAAATCAAAGAACATATTGCAAATTTGCTACCGAGGACCTCTTTAAAGTGATAAAGGGTAAGGAAGTCACCTTAAAGATTAAGATGCACTTAAGCCAAGTAAAACCATTTTCATTTGCTTCACCTGCACGTGGTTAGACACTGAATACTGAGGAGAGGAGAAGAACTGACACGTCTGCGTGGCGGCGTGGGTGCTGACTATGGAGGATACCATGGACTGCCAAAAGAGAAACAAAGCCAGTCTTTCTTGGATGAAGGGCAGCAGAGTGTTCCTCAGAAGCAAGGGTCTTAAGAATTCATCTTATATACTTTGGGTATGATATGAGGGGAGGCCAGTTCCTGGAGAACGACATCATGCTTGGAGACACAGAGGGTCAGCAAAGAACAGAGCGACCTTTAAGGACATAGGTTGACACAGTGACTGCAGCAAAGGGTACACACACAATTGAGACTGGAGGATGGTGGGACTGGGGTAAATTCTGTTCTGTTATACACGGGGTTTCTATGCGCCAGAGGCAACTCGGCAGAATTTAACAATGACAAAAAACAACACAGACCCAGGCTTCCCATAGTCCCTTAACTATATGTGCTGACCTGTACCCAAACCTTTGCATATTCTATTGATTGCCTTTATTAAAAACACTTTCCCTTGCTTTCCCTAATGTGTACTCATTTTTTTTGTGTGTGTGTGTACTTGTTTTTTAAGGCATCATTTCCATTTGCCTTCCTCCAGGAGGCTCCCCCGCTGGCCTCCTGGCTGGAGCAGGTCTCTCCTCTGGGTTCCCGTGGCCCCTCGGGCTTCCCATCCCAGCTCTGTCTGTCCTGAGTCTTTCCTCTCTGGTGCAGATCTATTTTTCCCGCTGGACTGTGGGCCCAGAGAGGGCAAGACTGTGTCAGCCTCAGCTGTGTCCCAGCACTGCACCACCCAGGATCAAGCCCACAGATGACAGCCAGCAGATGCTTGTTAAATACATGAGGGAATGCATGGATAAACATTTCAAATCCTTCTGGTCCCCTGTAAGGAGTTCTGGTGGCATAAGAGTTATTCACATGACAGCCAAAAGGTTGGTGGTTCAAATCCACAAGTGACCTGCGGGAGAATAATGAGGCAATCTCTGCTTTCATAAAGATTTACAGACATGGGAATCCTATGGGGCAATTCTACTCCATCCTACAGGTCACTTTAGAGTTGGAACTGACTTAGCGACAGTGGGCTTGGTTTGATTTCATTGTCCTTACGGTAGCCAGCCTCCAAGATGGCCCTCAATGATCCCTATCTTCTCATATTCATGCCCTTGTGTCGTTCTTTTCCATAAACAATAGGGCTGACCCGTGTTGTTCTTGTTGTTGGGAGTTGTCATTGGGTTGGGCTGCACAAGAGAACAAACCCCTTTCTGATCCTGTGCCATTCTGGGCAGCCAGGATGACAATGCAGAAACGACTGTGGCTAGGTCATAAAAAGGGAGTCTCTCTGGCTTAATGGTAAAGAGCTGTGCTGTCAACTCAAAGGCACGCAGTCCAAATCCACCAGTGGCTCTGCTGGAGAAAGATGGACAGTCTCTGCCTGTGAGGTTTACTGCCTTTGAGAATCCACGGGAGGGTCAGCTAGGAGTTAGTTCTGACTCAACGACGCATAACAATAACAGATCATAAAAGACACTGCAACGTCTGTCTGGCTGTCTTGTGGAAGCCAGCCTCCACATTACAATATGGACCTGTCCTTACAAGGACATGGAAGCATCTCTGTATTGAGGGACTGATGTCCCTCAAACCATCCCAGGGAGTAAATCAGCCACAGGAGTGACACTACCTTGGAACCTTCAGCTGAGCTCAATCCTACCTGACATCTTGTCTACAACATCACAAAAAAATCCAACTAGCCAAAACCATACTCCAACCCCTCCCCAATGCTTGAATATTACAAGCCCTGTGAAATAATAAATACTTAGTTTTGATTGAGGTTTCGAGGCAATCTGCAGTGTCCTACTTATCTCAGGGATCAAAGTCTCCCTTTGCTGATGCCTGATTGCACCACCTCTCATTAGCTCAGTCCCTTCCCCTGCCCTGTAAACAGTGTCCTCTGCCCGTGCCTTTGCTCACATCATTTCCCATGCCTGGCGTGCCCTCCTCACGTCCTAACCCTAGATATCCAAATTGAGTTTCGGCCAAGGCTCGGAGAAATAAGAGGCTTGCCTTGGCCAAGGTTCTCAGCGGCCAAGCCAGGAGCCATAATTAGGTGAATCATTTCCAAGAAAGGGCACTAAGAGGCCAGCACCCAGGACTTCTCATGTGAATCTCCTCAGAAATGAAGGCGTGAATCGCCAGCCCGGCCAAAATAGCAGACTCACACGATTCTCTGGCCTCCTTTGCGAATGCTGTTTCTCATGTTGCTCTTCTGGGTGCAAGTGAGCTCTGCCTTCACCTCTCTTTATTTCCCATGCGATATAATCCCTACCTGGAGGATCTTACCCTTTGATGTGCCTTCATCTGACCCATATGCTGTTGTCATTGGGTGACCATGTCTGTGTTATCTAGAATTTATCCTTTTTTCTAAATTCATGAACATGTTGTTGCTATTGTTGTGGGCCACTGAGCCAGAATTGCTGACTCTCCTGCACGTTTTCAGAGGCTGGTAAGGAATTGTGCTGCCAACCTAAAGGCACAAGGTTCAAATTCACCAGCTTTACCCTGAGAGAAAGAGGGACAGTCTCCTCCCATGCAGTAGACAGCCTCTGAAAACCCACTGGAAGGTCAGCTATGGGTCGGTTCTGACTTGACAGCAACAACAACACAACACAACAACAATGGCAACATCTGAATCATCACACACCTCTCTTTTTGTTGCTTGTTTTCCTCTTGGTTGCTAGTTATTTGATCTGTTTTATCTTCTCCAGCATATCTTGCAAACTTTGATTACATGCCAGATGTAGGTGGCCTAGTGCTAAGAGGCTACGCTATGATCTTGAAGGCATGTAGTTCAAATGCGCCAGCTGCTCTGAGGGGAAGGATGGGCACTCTTTTCCTTTGTGATCTGTATTGTTGTTGTTATGTGCCATCAAGTCACCTGGGACCCACAGCAACTCCATGCACAGCAGTTCTGAAGCCTGCCCTGTCCTGAGCCAGTCTCACTGACTCTGACACATCAACCCCCATTGCCCCAGTCACTGTATCAATTCATCTCATCCAAGGTCTCTTCCTTTCCTGCACTGTGCCTACACCATTCTGAGCATGGTGCCCTTCCCCAAGGACCAGTCTCTCCTGGCCATGTGCCCAAAGTATATGAGACAGAGCTCCAAAATCTAGCCTCAAAGGAGAAACTTGGTTTCACCCTCTCCAAGACAGACCTATTTGTTTTCTTGGTAGTCCATGGTATGCTCAAGACTCTTCTCCAACACCATAATTCCATGGCATCAATTCTTTTCCTGTCATCCTTAGTCTTTGTCCAGCTCTCTGTAATTGCAAAGACCATGAACTAGATTAGGTGCACCATAGTGTCTAGACTGACATCATTGCTTTTCAGTACTCTGGAGAGTTGCCTGACAACAGATTTTTCCAATGAAATTTGTCTTTTGATAACCTCACTGCTGGTGCCAAGTGTTGATGTGGAGCTGAACAAGCTGTGATTGCTAACAACTTCAATCTCTTCTCCATCTATCATGGTGCTGCCAACTGGCCCAGTGGTGAGAATCTTCATCTTCTTGATGTTGAGCTTCA